AAAGAAGGAAACTTTACATTTGAATAGCTTGCCAGGTTGAAAAAATCGAACCTTCTTAATCTTGTTTTAAGACTGATTTCAAAATTTACTGTGCTTTGATAAAAGTTCAAACCCGTAGAAAATAGTTTGCTCTTCAGCGAAATGTCCTTTAAGTTATTTTTTTGACATTATCAAGTTTTGGGTTTTCGCTCAATACTCCTATGCGACTAGACTACCATGCGTCGTGACCATGTTGAAGTCGCTATAAATCAATGGAGCATGGAGTTAATTTGCATGAAACCATGCAGGCTAAAAGCTAGCTAGCTTGCCAATATAATATGGTGCTGAAATAATATTTTCAATACCGTTTGCGCTCGTCTACAGATGCATTTCCTACTCGGATTGATACTGGAATTTTGGGTCCCAGTTCTTATGGTACTCAATATAAATAATAAATCGCTTGAAAAGTTTCAATGTTCATTCAACCAGCAAGCATAATCACATGAATCAAGTTTCATCGAAATCAAGCTCTGGCGGCGACGGTTTCCGCATTTTTAAAATTTTGTCGTGTCCGACCTATCTTCACCTCAAATCAAATTGCATCGAAAAAAAAAAAGAATAAAATAAAAACTGCTCGCACATTCGGAACAATGTCACGTACCAATGGAGATGACTGCAGAACACCGTACAAGTGCATCGCTATCGCCAGATAAAGCAGAAAAGCAAAAGTTCCCGAAAACTGCATCATATTACCACTAATTGACGGCGTTTATCTTTTCTCGCATGTTTTATACGTTTTTTTTTTTCGGTCTGCTATTTGCTTGTTAGTTGGTTGATACCCACCAAACACCAACCTTCCAGCGGCAGTTGGACAGTTAGCTTGCCTCAGCGGAAATTCTTTCGTTTATTAAACAGTTGATATTCTTCACGTCTGGCAACACTGCTGTTTACCTTTTTTTTTGAAAACTGTGATTCGGTCAATTTAAAATCATGCAATTACATTGAAATACTTTGTACACATTTTCGAAGCACACTGACTCCACAGTTAATAGTTGTTGTCCAACAGATCTTAATTTATACCGCTCAATAAACATTAACCTAACCGATAACAAGTCAACTCCGCCAACAAATCGTACCTTTTATTGTGAAACATCATTAATATGCCATTTGCCCGAGACCATAATTCTTGTGTCTCAACTTTGTAGCAATTTGGACTCCTCCATTCACACTTGGCCGCCGCGAGATGCCACCAGTTTGGCCCTAATGGGAGGTCTTCGGCTCTTCACCTGCGCGCTTGAGCCAATCGCACATTTATCTAGTTTACGTCGATGACAAATCGATAATCGTAAATATTGGTCTTTAAGCCGACGGAGTCCCACCACCATCTACCGGATTCCACCCAGTCGTCCGTCAGCGGGGGGACGGCGATGGACCGCGACCGATTAGAAGGGATTAATTAAATATTATTTGAGTGCATTTTAATGGCGTTGTGCAGAAAGAACGGAGAATCTCCCCTGATGCGCTGCCTTCTCGCTCGTTCGAGGGAAAGACCAGAAGCTGTCGGAGCTGCTTTTCAGCATCAACGGCTTGCATCTCATAACCCAACTCGGCAGAGTTTTTATCTGTCGATGTCATCGACAGATTGCCCCGATCTCCGCGCGGACCATTCAAATCATGACTCTCTTAATCGTAGATAAATGCTCACACGATAGCCGTCCGTCCGAAAGTAGAAGCCATTTTTCAATCGCAGCACCCCAATCCCACCTTCCGTTGAACATGCTCATAATGATATGCATGTGTGGCACTGGCCGAGAGGACATATGCAAAAGCGTGCGAAAACATTGTAGCCGCACTCCAATCGACTTAGATCAAGATTAGCCAAACAACTTTTCACTGACACTCTGCGGTGCGAATGATTATCTGGAAATGGGAATCTTGGTGGGCGCGTGGTGAGGGAAGAGAAGGGAGAGAGGGGCCTAATTGATTATCACCTGCCCATCTGTTAGCACTCTTTGACCGGGGGTATCATTTATCATGTTTGACTGGGCTAATCGGGGCCGCCATGTCGATTAATCCAGCAGATATTGATGATCCCGTCCTGGGTACGATTTGATTGACCTCCGGGCTGACGAAAAACCGAGATACGCTGAATCGATTCCATGCTCTCGCGCAATCAATTACCGCTGTTTTCGGGAGGTTTTGGTTGGGCACCGGTTGGTTGACTAAATGTCTGCCGTTTTCGTCTTTGCGATATTGAATTCAGAGCGACATTTTGCCACATTCCAGCTAATTGGCTTGATTAAATTTACGACAGTCGTCTCATGTTGGCTACGTACGGTCCTAACTGGAACTTTCATCCTGTCTACAATTCATACTAATTTTGTTTTGATTGAGAAGCCTTGAGTGTCGAACAAGGGTTTTAGTAGGGTACCTAAATTGAGGTCTTTTGTGACCCAAACGTACTATTCAAACTTCTGGTTATAGTTTTAGGATTTGCATGCCAAGTGTATCCTAGAAAAAGTCGCATTTTCGCATTACGGGTCTGTTTGGACCCAACATTTTTATTGCTAATAACATAGTCATTTTTACTTAGATTCTTAATCTATCTGCACAAATGTCAAGATATATGCTCTATTTTCCATTCCATGGGGTCTGGATGCTATTTGGCTATTATGGCCACACGGAACCGACTACAATCCGGAGTAAGTCTGGGTGATTGAAAATGGCTAATCTGAGATGAAATTACTCTGAAATGAACACTAAAGGTGTCCGTTAAGCTATGACTACTCACTCAGAAAAAAAAATATGTAAATTGTAACGCTGTGCGGTTTTTTTTTTCTTTCTATAAATATTTTATCGATTAAGTTCAACTAAATTTAAAATAAAATTCATTTCATTATTTAAATTTTCATTTAGATTTCATTCAGTAGTGAAATATTTCGTGCGTTTCATATCGAAGCTACGCGTTAGATTAGTTCGATTAGTTTGGCGCAATTTTTGAATAAAAGACAACCTTAATTTCTAAAGAAGAATGTCGTAAGGAACTTTCTTCCCCGCGAAAGGTACTCTGACTCGTTCATTTAGCTTTCGAATCGGCTGGTGAACAGAAGTGCGCGAATTAAGTTCTCGTTAAAAGTCGTTTGTGCATTTAGCCTTGCCTTAAAAGGTAGTTAAAATTTATTGAGTGAGTTTTATTTTCAGAAGTTTTACTAAGACGTTTCCTTTCTTTTTTTTTTTTTTTTTCCTTTGGTTTGTTTTTTCCGTCGATCTTGTTTTTCGTGCTGAGCACCAATGCTACCGACGTGCCAGGAAGGCAGCTCCCACACCTGGACCCTACCTATCGACCCATCAACTCATGAACCGGGGACCAACGGCTTTACTTCCCATCCGAAGGAAGGCGTGATCAAAGATGTTTGCCTCAGAACATCCCGCCGGCGCCGACTGGTATTGAACCCAGGCCTGTTGGAGTGAGAGATAATCACGCTTACCACTACACCACCGGCGTCGTTGCGTTTCCTTTCTTTGTACAGTGTAGCTAAGGCAGTTTCAAATTCCGCTTAGTCTGTTCGTTTTGTTTCAGTGAATTTTGTACAAAAAAGGTAATAATTGATTTTAGTGTATATTGTAATTATTTAATTAATGTGAGTTCGCGTTGGATTTCCAGCGCTTTGCGCTTCGGTTCGGATATCGCAAGGCCGGACAAGAAGGTTCGGTTAAGTGGCATCTATTCCGTCGTCCGTGTGAAACGGACCATCAGACTCGTGCGCCAAGCGAAGGCCCGCCTGTTCAAAGGTAACTAACCGGAGAAGAGTGAAGTTCGCTATTCCACTGAGCGAAACTTTTCCGACGGTCGCCAATCAACCGTCGACGAGGTACTTTTTCCGCTACAACCCCTTGTGGACCATTCTTTCCGAGAGCACGGACCGTTTGAGAGCGTAGCCAAGAGCGTACCACAGTCCGGATTCAATCAAAGGAGAAGGGTGGGTTTCATTTCATCCCGGGCAGTCATAGCGGAAGCTTAGTACACGAAGCCGTGCGGCGGTAAGTTGGCCCTCTGTTCTCTGAGGGGCTATCTCCCGGAAAAGCACGACTTCGGTCGATGCTCAGCTCTCGACGTATTAAATCGGAAGCCTTCCGTCCAGCCGCCACTCTCTCCGCAACTCTAGTTCGGCCATACTGCGCACGGGTCACCTTCATCGCTGCTCGCCATACTGCAGCTCATGTGCGGCGCCATCACGCCTCGCCGCCATCGCCACGCTAACTGGAAGGTCGCCTTCCGTCGCCATCATCAAGTCGTCGAGTCCCCACCGTCAGCCATCATCGAGCCGTCGTCCTTCACGTCGAAAAACCTGCGCATGTATGTTAGACCATGTTTTTATTCATGGCCATGATTTGCTCTTTTTCCGTACACTCATCCAGAAGTCCAACCCGAATAAATGAACTCAATAATAGTGTTTAATGGAAATTGAAGATTAGTTTTTTATGCTTTAGAACGTTTACCCTGGAATAAAAGACACTCGCTATCTTACGTTCAGTTTTTCCTTCGATTACCGCTCAATTGAGTAAGGATTCCTTCTTTCTCTTTCCGTTTCGTTCATGTTCTGGGTAAGTCAGAGTAATTCTTTCGTTCCGATAATATCTGCGGTTCTACAGGACTTGGCGTTTTACTTTTAATAAAGCTAGGTGTGCCATTAGTAATCGGAAACAGTTCAAGAGGTTCTCTGAGATAAGGTCTCATAAATCGGGCAAAACTGGACGCTTTGAGTGAGGTTTGGGCAGCATTTTGTTCCGTGCATAAGAAGATTTTGGATGTGAGTGAGGATGACAAAGCCTATGATGATGCGGTGCATCGTCAGGGGAAATTTGAAGCGTGCTACATCGCACTGAAGAACCGTTTATTGAAAATTCTAAAAGTGATGAAAGATCGCGATAGTGCTACTGCTCAACCGATCCCGTCACATGACGTCATCAGGCAGCTCGCCGACCAACAGGCTGAGTTTTTACGAATAATGTCCACTAACATGGCCGCCACTTCCGTCGTCCGCAATAACGCCGCTGTATCCCCTCTCTCGGACCTCAAGTTACCGAGGATGAACATGCCTGTCTTCAGTGGTAATTTTCTTGAGTGGCAGTCTTTTTATGACTTGTTCGACAGTTTGGTTCACCAAAATCCGATGCTGAAGGACAGCCAAAAGCTGTACTTTTTGAAAACGAATCTCGCTGGTGAGGCAGCGTCGTTGATTTCGCATCTGAAAATCGAGGATGCGAATTACCGATCTGCCCTGGAGAAACTGAAATACAGGTACGACAAGCCACGTGAGATTGCTAACCAGCATATTAAGCGATTCTTAGCACAGTCAACGCTGACGTCATCCTCTTCACATGGCTTGCGATCACTGCACGACGTGTCAGATGAGGTTATCCAAACTCTACAAGCAATGGATAGGGAAGATCGTGACACGTGGCTCCTACTCATTCTCAGCGAAAAGGTGGATCCCGACACGAAACAGCTGTGGTGCCAGAAGATTGCAGAAATGGAAGAAGCGGACATCACTCTGCAGTGCTTCCTGAAGTTCGTCGAATCCCGCAGTTTCGCTCTACAGTCAACGCAACCAACGAAGCCGAAAGTCAGCGTGCCCTTCAAGCAACCTTTAAAACCTCAACCCAGAGGTGCTACCGCATTCGTCGCCACGAACCCTCCGTTCTGCAACATGTGCACCAAACAAAACCACCATCTCTACCAATGTGGTAAGTTCATTCACATGAACCATGACGATCGACTCGCTCACGTCAACAAGATGAAGCTGTGCAACAATTGCCTGAAAGTACATCCCGGTGAAAACTGCAAATCAGGTACGTGTAGGAAGTGCAACTTACCTCACCACACCTTGCTACACCCGGTGTCGACATCAGCAAACTTACAACCAGCATCATCATCATCAGTCATAGCAATGGCTAATCCCGGACCACCAGCACAGTCTTTGATTTCGGCCCTCGATTCACGAACATGCCTCGATGCGTCTAGTGTTCTCCTTGTCACCGTAGCCATCAATGTTTTGGATAGCCATGGGTGCCCACACGCCTGCCGTGCTGTCTTGGATTGTGCATCCCAAGTCAGCTTTATCAGCGGTAGTTTCTGCAAGCAACTCGGCCTCAAAACACTAGCAGCTGACATGGACCTTAAAGCCATTTCTTCTACACTAGCCCACGCTGACAAGTGTGCCGAAATCATCATCTCCTCGCGCTGCACGGATTATCGTACCTCCGTACCTTGCATGGTGTTGAAGAAAATCACTAAAACGCTTCCCTGCAAGCCAGCGAATATCGAAGATTAGCCTATTCTAGGATCAATACATCTGGCCGATCCACTCTTCCATCGCCCGGGTAAGGTAGAAGTTTTACTGGGCATTGAACTTTTCTTTCAGCTGCTCGAGCCTGGCAAAATTGCCCTCAGTCCCGACGACAGCTTGCCAATACTACAAAACACCAAGCTCGGCTGGGTAGTTGCAGGCCGTTATCACGAGACAAATACTTCGATTGGATCTCACGCTTCGACCTGCTTATTGACCTTTACCGACGATGATCTCTCTCAGCAGTTGCGAAAGTTTTGGGAGCTTGAGGAATACGCCACAGCATCCAACCATCTGACCGAAGAAGAGCAACGATGCGAGAAACACTTTACTGATCACACCGTGCGAGATGAGTCGGGAAAATTCGTTGTCCGTCTCCCGTTTTTGCTCGACCCAAATCAACTAGGCGAGTCGAAGCAAATTGCGGAGAAAAGGCTTCACCACATCGAGAGAAAGCTTGACCGAAACCCACAGCTTAAAAATGAGTACCATGTGTTTATTCGTGAGTATATCGATCTCGATCACATGTCGCTCGTCGATGATACTACCTCAGCAAACAAATCGGTTTATCTCCCACACCACTGTGTGGTCAAAACAACAAGTTCGACCACCAAATGTCGAGTCGTTTTCGATGCTTCGGCAAAGACTACAAGTGGTCTCTCATTGAATGACGTGCTCATGTGCGGCCCTGTCGTTCAAGATTCATTGGTCAATATTTTGATCCGATTTCGACTTTCACAAGGTCCTGTGGAGGTGGACCAAGGACGAGGTCATGAGGGAGTATCGTCTAAATACGGTCACTTTTGGGACTAAAAGCGCATCCTACTTGGCTACAAAATGTGTGCAGCAGCTCCTAGAGTCCTACAGGCAGCAATATCCGGTAGCTGTTGAGAAGGCGGAAAAGGGCATCTACGTCGACGACATTCTTACTGGTGCGTCGTCCGAAGAAGAAGCAAAGGTGCTACGGGAACAACTAACCGAAATGTTTGCGGCAGGTAGATTCCACCTTCGGAAATGGGCCTCGAACAGCGCTGCGGTATTAGAAGGAGTTCCTGAAGCAAATTTGGAGGTGAAAATTCCTATCGAAGAGAACGGAAGCAGTACCATCAAGGCCCTCGAAATGCAATGGCAGCCGTGCAGTGACGAGTTCCATTTCTCCTACCAGCCTACCGAGATCCTTCAGCCCACAAAACGAATCATCCTATCGCAAATCGCCAGCCTTTTCGACCCGCTTGGCCTTCTTGCCTCAATCATCGTGAAGGCAAAGCTGGTGATGCACCGGATGTGGGAGCTGAAGGTGGCCTGGGATGCAACACCTCCCGGTGAGTTAACCAACGATTGGTTAGTTTTGGTGCAAAAGTTCTCGCTTCTCAATTCGTTTCAGATTCCCCGAAAGGTGATCGACATGAGGAACTGGTCTCGTCTCTACCTGCACGGCTACTACGACGCATCCGATGTGGCAATGGGTGCTTGCACAATACTTCGTCCCATCTTCTCTGCGCTAAATCGAAACTGGCACCTATAGGCAACGGCAGAACGACTACACCCCACCTGGAATTGTGTGCAGCGGTTATTCTCGCACGACTTACCTCCAGCGTGAGAGCTGCTCTTTCTACGACGAATTTTTACGAGGTTCGAGCGTTCTCCGATTCCAAAGTCGTCTTGGCATGGCTGGTGGAAGACATTTGTGGCCAATCGCGTTGCGGAGATTTCCACTCATCTGCCCTCCATCAACTGGTATCACGTGGGCACTCATTACAATCCCGCAGATCTGGTATCTCGTGGAGCATTTCCTGATCAACTTCAACATAACCCTCTCTGGTGGCATGGAACCACCTGTGAACCATCGGAGACGAACAACGGATCATCACCGAACGGCGATCTTGACGCTATTGAGCGACGGCAAATAGAGAGAGAGAGAGCAGCGAGCCACAGCCGTGGTTTGTTTCACTGTGTATGAGAACAGTTTCTTGGATGACATGATGGCCAGGTACTACTCGAATCTCCAGCTTCTACTTCGTATAACTGCCCGAATGCTTCGTTTTGGACACTCTGAGTTCCGATGCACATCTCGCCTCTCTCCAGATGAAATTGATTTCGCTTTGAGAAAGTATCTGCAACACACACAACAGCAACAATTTCCCGAAGAGCTCCGTCAACTGAAAAGAGATCTCGGCGTCGAACGCAGTAGTCCGCTACATCAACTCAATCCGTTCCTGGATGTAAACGGTCTCGTCAGGGTGGGTGGACGGCTGCAGCAATCGGATTTGAGTTACGACACCAAACATCCGATCTTGTTGCGCCGTCATTCGATATTGACTTCGCTCATTCTTCTCCACGAACACCAAGAACGTCTCCACTGTGGACCTCAGTCGTTACTTGCAGCTTCACGGAACAGGTTCTGGATACTACGAGGTAGCAGCGCAACCCGCAAAGTATGCCGTGATTGTGTAAAGTGCAATCGAGCTCGGCCAGCACGTGTAACACAGCAAATGAGACAGTTGCCAGCAGACCGTTTGAAGCCACTTCCACCATTTTCCATCACGGGCGTAGACTACGCCGGTCCGGTGAATATCGTCGGTCGAAGAATTCATGGAGCAGTACCGTCGAAGGGTTACATTGCCCTGTTCGTTTGCTTTGGAACGCGAACTGTGCATCTGGAAGCAGTTTCTGATCTAAGTGCGTCATCCTTTTTCGCCGCCTTCACACGGTTCAGCACTCGGTACGGCGTACCCAGCAAGATGTACTCCGACAACGCTACGAATCTACGAGCAGCAGCGAGAACGCTTCGGGAACTCTACCAGCAGATAGATGCCACTGAACACAGCGACGAGGTCAACGACTTCCTGACCAACAGACGGGTGCAATGGCTCTTTATACCCGCTCGTTTTCCACACCATGGTGGATTGTGGGAGGCTGGTATCAAGGTTGCGAAAGGATTTCTCAGTAAAATTGGAGGTAATTACAATTACACATTTGAAGAATTAAGCACTCTTCTCGCCCAGGTAGCTGCCTGTATGAACTCGCGTCCGATCTCTGCGATCTCGGACGACCCCACCGATCCACAATCCCTTACGCCCGCACACTTCTTAATCGGGCGACCTCTTGACGCTCACCCGGAGGTCAACCATTTGGAACAACAGATAGGCTCTCTGTCAAGGTAGAACTATGTGCAGCGTGTCACTCAAGAGTTTCGAGCTCGGTGGCAGTCCGAGTACGTGCTATCGCTCCAACGACTAGCGAAATGGCAAGCATCATCCCCTAATTTCGCAGAAGGTGATTTTGTGCTCCTCGTCGATGAAAACGAAAAATCGCAGCAGTGGCCCTTGGGACGTGTTGTGGAGCTCTTCCCCGGGAACGAGGGACTCGTCAGGGTTGTCTCGGTCAAAACATCCAAGGGTGTTTTCCGTCGAGACGTCAGGAAGCTTCGACGATTCCCAATCGACAGTGACGAGTACGTTTCAGGCAGACATGGGTCGGAAATTCCTACTCGTAATTTGGTGGGCGGATTATGTTGACGCGAGAATTAGGAGCGCTACCCTATTCGTTGCAACCGCAACCTATTGAATTATTTGCCTCGCACGGACAGGGTCAATCAACTAACACATTACTCAACAATAAAATGTGTGTACCTCTCCCTTACCGTATTGTAAAGGGAATCTTCTGGGCCTTCTGCCTTTTGTAGTAATGGGTTATATAAACCCCACACTGAAGAGACACTGTCATAGACACTACGCCATCATCTGCAAGTTGTCTCAACGTGCAGTTGTCACTTAGACAATTGTCAATTTCTCTGACATAGAAATTGTACAAAAGGGGGCTTAAACATGAGCCCTTGGGTAGACCCATGTAACTAAATCGAGAAGCTGTAGAGTTTCCATGAGAAAAGCTCATATGTTTCTCTGACAGTAAATTGTACAAAAAGTTATTAATTAATGGGGAAAGGCCACAAGCGTGGAGTTTATCTGAAAGGACTTCAACCGATACTGAATCAAAAGCCCCCTTGATATCCAAGAATACAGAAGCCATTTACTCTTTTTTAGCAAAAGCCAACTGAATTTCTGTAGAATCCAAATTGAGTATCTGAGAGTAGGTGGTTCGTCTCAACCCATTTGTCCAAGCGAAAAAGGATCATTTTCTCCAACAATTTTCGAATGCACGATAACATCGCGATGGGACGATACGAGTTATGATCTGAAGCGGGTTTTCCAGGCTTTTTAATGGCTATAACTCTCACTTGCCTCCAATCATCCGGAACAATATTGAGCTCCAGGAACTGACAAAACAAGTTCAACATGCGCCTCTTAGCGACGTCTGGGAGGTTCTTCAACAAGTTGAACTTGATTCTATCAGCCCCCGGAGCCGAATTGCCACACGAAAGGAGCGCATGTACTGTTTTAATCATGCCAATATTGGAAGACGTTTATACATCGTTGTTACATAAAATTGCTTTTTATATCATGTTATTTTGTCTTAAGTTTATTTCAAGTTCATTACACTGCTTTTTATCAATTGAATATTATTACTCTCATAATGCGCAGTTTGAAATCTGAACTATAATCTGGTGTTTTAATATGAATTCCCGTTTCTCTTTATATGTTTCATCATAAAATAAAGCTTCTACTTCCCGAAATGACTCATTGAGTTTCATTTGATCATATACCTCCTGTTTCGATCATTCGTGCTCTCAAATCGATCCGTCAATCAAAGATTCAGTAAAAAATTCTTTGTGGGACAGTTATGCGTTAGAATTTCAACATGAGACAATTAAACTTGTTGTTGTTTTTAAATAAGCCCAAAAAAAATTACATATTTATCTATTTTCATTCGAAAGGTTATCTAAAAAAGTATTGTTTTATGAACAAAAGTGAAAAACGTCCAAAAGTAACATGGGACAAATATGCGTAGAATTGCAGTTTTATTAGTTACAACAGAATTTTTCATTGTAATGTAAAAATACAGAAAAATGTATTACTGTTTGTTCC